ATCATCTATTTCAAGATTTTTTAAATCTGTTGCTTGTCCATGCAAAACAGGTCGATAGTGTGTTGCTATGCGGTTACACACTATAGCATTCAGTGGTTGCTAGGGAATTTTTGAACGATATTCCAAATAGAATGTTTTTTTTGTTTCTTGTATTTTTGTATATGGGTTGTATTCCATAGAGGATGGGAGCATATATCTTTGGGAAACAAATAAAAAAGATTAAAAAAAAGAGTACTTATTATGAAATATGAACATATTTATGAAATATAATATAATTAAAATAAAATACTGAAGTATGAAGTGACTGTAATGTTTTTAGGCACCTAATTGCATGTTACTGCATTATGTATTATAGTTAACTTTAGTGTTTTCGACCCACTTAAGTACATCTTTATATAATATTTCATAATTACTTCTATTTTCTTTCAAATAAAGTGTACTGCAGAATGTACTGACAAGCATTTATGGTAACCTAAAACATACTATAATTTGATTTCCATTGAAACTCGTATGCCATGTATTGAAATATATTTGTAATTACACTTTTGTAATGATGACGACGCAATTGAATACATTTAAAATATATTATCATTAAATGTTTTATCAAATAACACACTACATTTAAAATTAGATTCAGATACTTTACATGTGCTTTGTTAGCCAACACATCAAAATAAGTTTACTTCTTTAAAACAACAAAAGATAAATGAAACAATCATTTAAAATGTACTTTACAATTTTTCATTTTAATTATTTTAAAGTGCATTTAAGTGTGTTAAACATAGTAATGAAAGTGTACTCTCTTTAAGTACGCTTTTATTTCATTAATATTATATTATCTGTGAGTACAGCCTTTTTAAATATATACTTTTAAGATTTGAAGTACACTACAAGTGCACATCAATACAATTAAGCACACTTCTTTTTCACTAGTGTATATTGTAAAGAAATGTCATTGTTAAAATACTCTCAAAGTTAAAATATGTGCCCCGGGTTCCACATCGTGATGCTTGTATATGAGTCTGTGGTTTAGTAAGGGAGTTGTTGTTGTTGTAGTGTGTGTGTGTGTGTGTGTGTGTGCCGCAGCTCTGCTGTCTGTTTTGGGTGTTGTCTTCATGTGAATCAGAGGGCTGGATTGCATTAGCATTCTCAGATGAGCAGACTTGAGGTTTCGGGAATTAATGTGTTCATAAAAAAGAATTCAGCAGAACTGAAAACATATGGGAACTTCTGGACAAAGATCATTAAAGGGATTTCCAAAGCAAGTCTGGAGTTTCCCTGCATGAGACTAAAGACAGACACTGAGTTGATTTCAACAGGTGTGTGTATCAGGAGTACAGTAGTCCCTCATTTTGGACTAGAGTGGAAAAATAATCAGTCTTTGAATAAGGAATGTTTTAAACAAACATTCAGCATTTTTAAAATGTTACTTTATACAGTGGATCTCAGCTTGTTTTGCTTCAGAGGCCAGGTTTTTAGTAACTCAACAGTACAAAATCCGTTCATCGTACAAATTCCCTATACTACGATAGACAATGTGGCACCACAATAAGGGGACACATTCTCTCAATATTCAGAGTAGTGCTCAACCTATATGGGTTTTTCAGTGGCCACATCTTAAACTATTACCACCAATAGTAAATACAAGGATTCAGCCTAACAAAGAATCAAATACCAATAGTTATTTGTTGCTAGTGCAACATTATTTCATCCATGTCACAGTAAAGTGGAATTTATATGCTTATATTTTGAATATATAGCTGATTAATCTTTGTGTCCCTTGTTATAATTAAATCATACATTATAATAGAGTGCTGAAGGGATGGCATATTTTCGATGCCCAAAGCCCAGAGACGAGTTAACAGTTGAACACTTCTGGGTCCATTGCTCCTGAAGTCAATGGGTGGTTAAATGCCTGAAAATAGGACTGTGGTTAACACAAACTAAGATATTTTGACATTTTATTTTAAAATATTAAATACCCCCTGTGCTTTTTAAAAAGCGTTTACTTGCCTTGAAAAAGATGGTTCCTAACAAGTAATGGGACTACAGATGTTGTCATTAAACATCATCACCCTGAAAAGGTAAACTCATCTATTTTTTTTTAACCGGGGTGTAGTTCGTTTATAGTCTACATTTAGCTTTTTACTTCTACCGATTGAATTTAGCCTTCAAAATGAAAGTTGCATTCATTTGTGGAGATTATCATGATGAACAAAGGACATAAGAATCATAAACTAAATCTAAAGAAATCCAAAAATGTACTCTAAGTCTATAATCTATATTTAAAATGTAATTTATTCAAAGCCGAATCTTCAGCAGCTGTAATCAAGTGCATCAAATGTGTCTCAGTTCAGTGTAATAATATCAGCAGTAAGTACGCACCTGAGAATGACCTTCATCTATATACATACAACTATAAATATTGTGTTACATAATGTCTCATAGATATTACGTTCCATACAATATCTAAACACGAATGCATGAAAATGCACATTCGGATTGCAGCTCAGCTCAGCTTTTTTTTTTATTGCTGTCAGTGTTATGCAGTGATATATATATATATATATATATATATAGTGCTGTCAAACAATTAATCGCATCCAAAATAAAAGATTTTGTTTACATAATATATGAGTGTGTACTGTGTATATTTATTATGTATATATAAATACAAACCCATAAAAATAAAAATATGTTATGTTTATATATTATATTTATATATGTAAATGTATATACAGTGGGTACGGAAAGTATTCAGACCCCCTTCAATTTTTCACTCTTTTGTATTTACTTGCATTATCTTTGTGTAATATTAAAATTAGTTTGATGATCTGAATCTTTTAAGTGTGACAAATATACAAAAAATTTAAAAAACAGGAGGGGGCAAAAACCTTTTCACGGCACTGTATAAATGTATATACATGTAAATATTAAAAATATATATATACTCTATGTGTGTGTATTTATATATACATAATAAACATACACAGTACACATACGTATATTAATGTAAACAAAAACTTTTATTTTGGATGCGATTAATCGTTTGACAACACTATATATATATATATATATATACATATATATATATATATATTGTATGCTATCAGATGTTTTGCCTCAATGTCAGTACTTCCACAGGTTAATGCAGTCTATGCTCATCCTGCATTTATTTGATCAGAAATAGAGTAAAAACAGTAACATTGTGAAATATTCCAAATTAAAACAATTGTTTTCCATCTGAATATTTTTTTAAATGTGATTTATGTAATTTTTTCCTGTGATGCAAAGCTTCATTTTCAGCATCATTACTCCAGTCACATGATCCTTCAGAAATCATCTTAATATTGTGCAGATTTTCTGCTCAAAAATCATTTATCACTTACTCTGTCCTTGGTGAATAAAAATATTAATTAATAACTTTTGAACAGTAGTGTATTTCCACAACTTGTTTATTCTCACAAACAAGCTTTCTACTACATATTTTTATGGCTTGTGTCATTTTTTGTCATATCTTTACATCTTGCAAGTAGAATCCCACCACTGGTTTTACTGCTTTTAATAACACGACACATCAAATAATAATGATATAATGCAATATTTTAATACTTAAAAAATAAAAGTACAACATACTACTAATCTACTATTTATCTACTATTACTAATTTACTAACCAAGACGTTGATAGTAAATCTGTGGAATTTTCAAGCAATAACCAAAGTATTAAGGTCGAAGTATTTTTTTTTTTTAAAGATTATGCCTATGGGAACATGGGATCTAACAGGAAATAAAAATGTTTTATTTAACATGGAAAAAAAAACAACACATTAACAGACTTAGGATATTTGGTTTAAATGCATTTGATTATTGTATAGTCATTTTTTGAAATAAATTACAATTGTTTCATTTCAAATGCAGAATTTATTGGACATTCCATTAAACATGAGGAATACTGTTGGAAACAGCTGGAAGCAACGTTTTGAAATCTTCGCAAACCTACTTTCTCCTTGCAAAATACTACAGGATGACTGCAATCTGATTGGAGGTAAAGCACAAGAGATTTGGCTTAGAAAACGAATTCAGATATACAAAGACATTCAAAGAGGTTCTGCAAAAGTTACTATTAGTGTTTCAAACAGGTGTGAACACTGGAAGAGGAAGACACTTTAAACAGTTCAGATGAACCTGCTATATCGCTATGCATCACAAATACATGATTGTGCCTCTGCTGAGGTGAAGAGGAACAAGATCGATCATTAACAGAAAAAAAAGTCCAATTATTCCAGCATTTGGTACATAGCTAGACTCACCAAACTCAATACGTGATGCTGAATATGACCCACTGACAAGATCTGAAAGAAGTAGATCTCTACAATTCTCTAGGTCTGTGATCAAGTAAAAAAAAAGATACGACGGTTCACTAGTATTGAGAATTGTACAGATGATGGGGTAATTCTGACGAAACCTCTCAAAAACATTTCACCCCAAAATCAATTAGATGTGAAAGAAAATGAAGCCTATTTTATGATATTTTCTACTATTTATGACATCTAGCACTTAAGCACATTCCCTCACCCCAATCCAATTCTATTTTACAGCATTACACTAAAAACCTGTAATACAAAATTTGTTCTGTGTAATTTGAGGCAGCAAATTTATTCCTTTAAACTTTGTGGTTTACTTCAAAATGTGCTCAAATGTCATAAAAATAATACAAAAAACAGCTTCACTTTCTTTATGCAAAAATCATTGTTTCCTTTTTTTGATTTTTGGGGATCCAAGGTTTAATACTTCATATTTGGCTGTGCATAATAAGCTGAGAGTTTAGCACGCTCAGAGATACCTGGATAGAAACAGAAACATTCATTATGGGTTTGTTTTTTGCATGCAAGTGTTAAGGCTTCTGGGTCATGGGCCTCGCACTATGAATCACACCTACGGTCAATGTTTCGTATTTTTACTCCAAACAAAAGGCAGAATCAAAGGTTTGCACACGTGTTAAGGCTTCTGGGTCATGGGCCTCGCACTATGAATCGCACCTACGGTCAATGTTTCGTATTTTTACTCCAAACAAAAGGCAGAATCAAAGGTTTGCACACAGAAATCATTTCATTTCCAAAGACAGACGTGATAACAGCTTTCTGAGATCTGCTGGTCTGATGACGATCAAGCGGCGAGGCGTTGAGCGGCCAGTTCCTCGGCATCGTCGCGGTTCTCGTGGATCTCCGCCAGCGTCCGCACGAAGCGGGTCCATTCGTCGCTCCGCGGGACTGAGATTTGCTTTGGTGGAACAGAGAGAGAGAAACATTATAGGGAGCGTTTTGTAAAGAGGTGTAAGTCTGTTGTGGCCACACAGCGGACGATCAAACTACTCTGAGACTGTCAGAGTGAACTGACCCCTGCCTAACAATCGTCCATCTCCTTCTTCTACTCTATCTGCTGAGTGACAGAGGCCCTCTGTGGCCCCTCTCTGACAGACATGTAATTGTAGTGTGTCATCTCTTTAGAGGCTCGGAGTAGGCTTTTTACACGACTGTCTCGGTGACAGAACAGGAGCGAGGGAGAAAGGTGTTACGGTGTAGTGGGTCTGTGATGTGTCTTAAAGGGATAGTTCACCCAAAAATGAAAATTCTGTTATTAGTTACGCACCCTCGTGTCGTTCCAAACCCGTAAGACATCCGTTCATCTTTGGAACACAAATTAAGATATTTTTGATGGAATCTGAGAGCTCTCTGACCCTCCCATACACAGCAAGGATCCTTACACGATCAACGCACAGAAACGTAGTAAGGACATAAGCTACGAGAATACTTTTTGTGCACAAAGAAAACAAAAATAACGACTTTATTCAAAAATTTGTCTCCTTTGCGTCACCCTATAGCACCGTTTTGGAGAGCATCACATGCGTAAACAACGCATGTACGCGGATACGTTGTTTACATTCAGATCAAAGCGTAAACGTATCTGCGTACGGTGTTGCTGACACAGAACAGCACACGCCGTTTACGTTCAGTGGATACTCTCCAAAATGGCGTTACAGGGTGATGCGAAGGAGACGAATTGTTGAATAAAGTCGTTATTTTTGTTTTCTTTGCGCACAAAAAGTATTCTCGCCACTTCGTAATATTACGGTTGAACCCCTGATGTCACATGGGCTATTTTACCGATGTCCTTGCTACGTTTCTGAGCCTTGATCGTGGTAGTATCCTTGCTGTCTATGGGAGGGTCAGAGAGCTCTCGGGATGCATCAAAAATATCTTAATTTGTGTTCCGAAGATGAACAAAGGTCTTATCGGTTTG